CTGTATCTCCAGTAAAAGCTCCTGTTTTTTTCTGCGCAGCTCAATCACCAGCTTTTGCTGCTCCGGTGTCAACTCTGCAAGAATAAAACATAGTTCTTAAGCATTCGTTTGCTTTTGTTGTTGGTGTTGCTGCTGCTGTTGATTTGGTTAATTGGAACAGTGACATTCCACTTACACACACACGCACACACGAGTCAAGCGTACGTAAACAATACACACCCACAAGCACAAATACACACACACGCACACATTTTCCATGCGCATACAAGCTGCACTGCCAGCATACGTATGCGCACGAGCGAGACAGAAGATGCTGACAAATCAATACAAATATTACAATTGTGCGCATGTATTGTTGTTGCTTTTTTGATGCTGTTACTGTTTAGCAACACGCTGTGTAGATGTATTAATTGTTTTATTAGCTTAATGCCGAATTACGGGATTAATTCAATTGAAGGCCAGTTTAACAGACGCACAAGCACATACACACACAGCCACATATTCACACTCGTCACGCACACGCCTACAATCAGCGTCGCTTGTTGCTTCCACACTTTTCATTTGGCCTCTTCGCCCCACTCGCTCGTAATTTGCATTTAGCATTCACACAATTTCACTTCAATTGCAGCTTAAACTAATCTTTATCGCCGTAGACCGTCTGGTTGAGCTTCTTTGTTTTATTGTTTACTCATTGCCCATTGCGTCGTGTTTACCTGGCATTGAGAATTCACTGCGCCCCTTGGATATCGCACCGTACGATCTGTTGTCGAAATTGTCCATTGCGCTTATCATTTTGGCGGGCACGGTTATCACACACGCACACACGTTGCACTAGTTTAACATATTTTGTAACTTTTAGGTATTTGCTAACTTTTTCATTTATTAAACACAATTAAATTTATCATAAACAAATCAACACAAAAAATTCTTTCGCCTTTTTCTTTCCCACTAGGGATGAACCGAATAGCGATGCTTAGTGATGACCAAATCGATGTATCGTAGCCAGAGGTGTTGCCACTTTGTTAAAAATGCAGTCAGTTAACAGCACTCATATATAAAACATATATACCCTTCACAGCTTTGAAAATTTATAATTGTCAATAAAGCATTTTATTGTCATCTTGTGTATGTTTCACTTCACATTGTATAACAAATACAATATTGTTACTGAATAGCAATGTAACAGAGGTATCGGAAACAATTAACAGAGTTGCTCCACTGACTCCTCAAAAATAAAAGTATTGTCCTGTAACTGTTACGCGCTACCTTAAAGTCTCGTGACTGTGGCGCACCGAAAAATCGCTCTTCACTAACACAGGCTGGCTGCAAAGACACTGAAGCGACTCCAGATTTCTAGAAAATTCCAAATATTTTCTTAGCACAGTTAACAAAGCAACGTCAGGAAACAGAATAAAGCGTATAGCAAATACTGCCGGTACTTCGTGGACCAGTGAGTGCGAAAATCAGTTATATTTTAATACAGCAAACACGCAATAAAAAGAGCAGCAGCACAATGGCAAAGTGGGGAGAAGGCGATCCACGCTGGATTGTTGAAGAGCGACCCGACGCAACCAATGTGAACAATTGGCATTGGACGGAAAAGAATGCGACGCCCTGGTCAAAGGAGCGATTGACACAGTTGTTCCTTGACTTCAAAATAGGTAATGATTGTGCTATTCAAATTGCTGTGCAAATTCTAACCTTAATTTCATGCGGCTGTTGTGCATTGCACGACGAACAGTTCAAAGTGACATCGAGTGCGTAGTGAACAAAGTGGAGGAGTGCAACGGTGAGGCGACCGTCAACAATCGCAAAGGGAAATTGATATTCTTCTACGATTGGGAACTAAAGCTGAAATGGTCCGGCCGTCTGTTAAAGAACAGCAAGCTGAGCCACAACGGCAAGCTGACCATACCGAATCTGTCCGAAGAGAATAATCTGGAAGATGTAGAAATAACGGTTACCATTGACGAGTCTAACGACGAGTCTGAGACACTCAAACAATTTATGTATAATGTGGGCCGTGACCAAATTCGCAAACAGCTGGGCGTCTATATCAAGGAACTAAAGGAGGAATATTCCAAGAACTTGATACTACCAAAGAAGGATGCCAACAGCAGCGAATCCACGCCAGCCCAGGCCAAGGATATCAACAACGCTAAGAATGCGGCACAAAGGGCTGCGGCGCAGATCCCTACGGCTGCCATATCCTCCTCCAATAACAATGTGACAAGCAAGCCCGTCGGCTGCAAGCTGGACGTTCGCTCGCTCACCATGACCGAGGAGTTTCAATGCAATGCCAATGACCTCTACAATGCGCTAACCAAGCCCGAAATGGTCACTGCATTTACGCGTGCGCCCGCCAAAGTGGACGCCGTACGCGGCGGCGAGTAAGCATCAACATTTTAAATTCATCTTAATTAGAATTTCAAATGACATTCTATTTGAATTCGCAGATTTGTGCTGTATGGCGGAAACGTACATGGCAAATTCGAGGAATTGGTGCCCGAGAAGAAGATCCAACAAAGCTGGCGTCTGAAAAACTGGGCCTCTGGCCACTACTCGAATGTGATTATTGAATTGGAGGAAACTGTAAGTAAAACAAATAGAGATACTTGTATTCTCTGAGATTTGTTCTTTTAGACAATTTTCTGCTTAGCTTTTGATTTAGAGAAGACAATCAACATATTTTATAAAAAAAGTATATCAGATAAAACAAAAAAAAGGGGCAGCTTGTTTTTGTTGTATATTTGCATATTAGTATAAATTAGATTTAACATAATCAAAAGCTGTGTTCGGGCAATGCACTCTAATTTGAATTACTGAACTAAACATTGTCAACAGTAAAATAAGGATAGCAAGCACTACAGAATTAGATCCCTCTCGTATTATCTGCCAACCTGGCAAAGTTCCTCACACATTTCATTGACATCAAAGTTATTTGGTTCGCTGCGCTGGCATTGGATGATCTCTGCCTATTGGCTTTTAGTTGATGACGTGAACTCGCCCTCATCACTAAAACCATTGATGCCCGGCTGTTTCGCCTTGCTTGCAGCGCATCTTATTCGAACTGGTTTTGTGGACTCGCCTGATGTCCACCCCATAAGCGCCTCATATCGAACCTATTTGTCGGCGCTTCTTCCAGTGCATTAAGAGTTTCAGGAAGTAAATGTTCAAGATGTTAGAATTAGTTTCTGAGTTCGAAATTGCCATTTATATAGCAAGTTTCAGTCTTGTTGTTATTCATAGATCTATAAATTAAGTACAGAATTCAGTATTCGCGTTATATATGTATATACATTTATATATTTATTTATAATTATTTAATTGCCTTGCAGTCGTCGTCCACAAAGATGACGCTTCACCAGACAGGTATTCCCGCCTCCGAGTACACAGGGATGAAGGAAAACTGGCACCGATACTACTGGATCAGCATAAAGCAAATCTTCGGCTTTGGCACCACCTTCCCACTGGGACCGTCCTAAGTGCGAATCATTCGACTTCAATTCAAACGCGCTGCAAATTGATTTTCACCATTCTCTTAGCTATATTTTCTGTGCGGCTGCTTGCCAACAGCGTTCTGTTACACTCTTAAATATGCTATTTAATTATATATTTATATATAAAGGGACAACCTGTTCGACAGTAGCAGCAGCAGCCTCAGCAGCGTCAACACTACACAACTACAATATAATTATGTCATTTAGTCAGTTTCAAGCTATGGCACACACTCGACATGGATTCACACACCTTGTATATGGCGAAATAAACGAAACATCTTAATGAACTTCAATGCGAGTTTCATTTCAAAGGCCAAAAAATCACCTGCCTCACCTTTTATTAATATGGGTCAAAGTTATATCTTTAGTACACTTCGTTCCATAACGAAGTTTAGAGCTAGCCTCGTCCGATCGGTGGCTCAGTGGTAGAATGCTCGTCTACAACGCGGGCAGCCCAATTTTATTTATTATCTAAAAAAAGTGAGCTGAAAAGCCACGATTTATTGTTAACTGTAAAATTTGATTTATATTAGCGAGACTTGAAGAGTACATCTTTTTCAAAATAAACACGTTTAAACCGCAAAAATATAATAATGTGCTTGACGACAGCTATGATCATCCATTTTACAGACGTTATTTACATTATAGAGATGTATACAATCCTCATCATGCTTGCTGTTATTGGGTTCCTCTTTTATGTCGACCTTGTTATGGAGACTATTCGTTTGATCCAATAGTACCTTCACGATATTGAAACTATAGCCTCCACAAGTCGATTTCAGATTTCTCGACTCCTGACAACTCTAGATGTGATTATATACATATGCATGTATTGAATATATGTTCTCTAAATTATAAAAACTGACTTTAAATTATCCCGCTGCTACCATTACCAGCGAGAATCGGCAACAAAACTGTAAGAAACCTTCAATGCGACGCTGGAAATGTTTTAGAATGCAAAGTTTCTTACTAACTGCAAATCTTAGGAGAACTATGATTATTATATATGTAAACGGCAATCAAAAGAAAAGAGTCGCCTCGAAATGGCGAATATTAAATACCCTTTTCAAAATTCTATAATATCAATAATTAAGGTTATCTCGTATTGAGTCAGATATATGTATGTATAGAAATGTACATTGAAATGTCGCTGAGACATACATATGTACCATTATTTATCGACTCTGTTCATCGTGTTGACCAAAAATACATACATATTATGGGGTTTATGGGGTCAGCCATGCCTTATTGGGCACTTTAATATTCCTAATAGTTATCATATGTGGTTAAAGGTTACTTGGCACTGATAGAAATTTGTATACAT